GGCCGGAAATGGACAGCCAGCACCACCATGGGTCAAGTTCGGCTTGACCGAGCCCGAGTACAAGTACCGCGGCCGTTACGACTGCTGCTACTGGTGCAACAGCACCAAGCACAAGACCTCTCTTTGCCAGGATCAGGCCAAGGAGGATGTGCGGCCTCGGCTCAGCTCGAGAAACTGAGTTTCACGGGACGTGAGGCGACTCCACCCCCCACTCCGCCAGATTCGGCCGCCTTGCTAACGGCCTCCTACACATATGGGGAGGATGCGAATGTCGCAAGTCCTCGGTACACTTACGAGGATTATGCTGTCCACTTGGTTCCAACGCTATACCAACCGCTCCACGTGCAACAATCTACCGCATGCACGGTTTCAACACCATCGGCAACCGATTCGGCAGCTTCGCCGCCATCTACCGTCGGGGATTCAACGTCATGGTCAAAACTTGAAGAGCTCGACCCGTTGACTTTTGCGTACTTCCAATGGATGCCCCTTCCCCGGTCCGATCGATTGCCGAAACCGCATTGCAACGTGCTCAAAGCACAATTGCGGGATTACTTGCACACTGCAGTACCGACGCCGTTGATGGACACCGGAGTAGATGTTGTCGACCTTCACGCCTACATTGCGAAGATCGACCGCGAGTTCAAGAAGCAACGGTACGACGACCTAGACGCACCATTGCTATATGTACGCATTCAGACGGAGAGGCGGCCTGCAGCGGTTTGATCGATTGCGGAGCATCTCGCAACTACATGAGTTAGGACTTCATGGTACGCGGCGGCCTTCGCCCACGAGTCCGAAGGAAGTCCCAGCCCACGCAAGTCACGTTGGCGGACGGTCACACGCACAAGTAAATCGACCGGTGCATTGATGACGTCCCAGTGTACTTTGCCCCTCACTTGCTTTGCCCCTCACGCAAGTGAGGCGGTGTCCTTTGACATTCTGGACACCAAATTCGACATGGGCATGTCATGGCTGCGAAGCGAGGAACACCCGGTGAACTTCTACCGCCGATAGTTCACGTTCGTGATCGGAACGGAGTACTAGTCCCATGCACGGTAGCTCCTCCTCACCCTTTAGTCAGTTGTCACGTGGTATCCGCCGCAAGCATGCGAGTTTCCATCATCAGAGACGACATTGAGGAGATGGGGGGGTGTTTTCTCCACGCCCTCCCGTCCCATGACGCTTCATCGACGGACACTTCTTCGGATCCACGCATCACCAAGCTTCTTGACGCCTAGAGCGACGTGTTCGAAGGCCCGTACGGAGTAGTACCGGATCGGCCCATCCGCCACAAGGTCATCCTCGAGGACGGACCGTACCTCCACGCGGTTGCATCTACCGAATGAGCGAGGAAGAGTTAAGTGTGCTTCGGGCACAACTCGACGACCTTCTGGAGAAAGGCTGGATTCGGCCTAGCTCATCGCCATACGGTGCTCCTGTTCTCTTCGTCCGGAAGAAGAACAAGGATTTGCGGTTGTGCATCGATTATCGCAAGCTCAACGCGCAGACGATCAGAAACGCCGGCCCTCTCCCACCCATCGACGATCTTCTCGAGCGACTGGGCGGCGCCAAGTTCTTTCCCAAGCTCGATCTCAAGTCTGGATATCACCAACTTGAGATCCGACAGGAGGATCGCTACAAGACCGCGTTTAAGACGCGATATGGGCATTTCGAATGGCTGGTTATGCCATTTGGCCTTAGGAATGCCCAGGCCACTTTCCAAGCGGCTATGACAACGGAGTTCCGACACATGCTGGATCGATACGTACTTATCTACCTCGACGACATCCTGGTGTACAACCGGAGTTTGGACGAGCATGTGGAACACCTCCGCACCGTTCTGGAGTGGCTACGACAAGCCGAGTACAAAGCCAACCGCGACAAGTGAGAATTTGCGCGGCAGGAGCTGGAGTACTTGGGACACTATGTGACGCCGAAAGGCATCTGTCCGCTTGCGGACAAGATCGAGGCCCTACGAGTATGGCCCGAGCCCACCAACACCACGGACGTTCGTTCATTCATGGGATTGGCGAATTACTATCACCGATTCATCACCGGATACTCCAGGATTGCTGCACCTATGACGAGGTTATAGTCGCCAAAGGTGCCATTCGTATTCGATGACGACGCACGCCGGTCATTCCAAGCACTCAAGACGGCCATGCTCATGGCACCCGTCCTTAGCATCTATGACCCAGTTCTACCTACGAGAGTGACTACGGACGCTTCCGGCTATGGCATTGGGGCACTCTTGGAACAACACGGCGGCGTCGACTGGCACCCTGTGGAGTATTTCAGCCACAAGGTGCCTCCCATCAACTCGCTTGATGATGCAAGGAAGAAGGAGCTGCTCGCATTCGTCATCGCTCTCAAGCGATGGCGGCACTTCCTCCTTGGGTGTCGTAGGTTCACATGGGTTACGGACAACAATCCACTGACCTACTACAAGACGCAGGATACGGTGAGCAGCACGATCGAACGATGGATGTACTTCATCGACCAGTTTGACTTCACACCGAAACATCTTCCAGGCCTCTCAAATCGCGCAGCAGATGCACTCTCGCGAAGACCTGATCTTTGCGCTATGACACATCATGCCTTCGCATTCAACGAGGAGCTTCAGCGACACTTCATCCGGGCATATGAGTCTGATCCGGACTTCGCCACGCTGTATGCACAGCTATCTTCGGATCACCCGCCGGCCAGCCACTATCGCATTGCCGACGGGTACTTGCTCCTCCACTCGAGAGGCAAGGACTTACTATGTGTCCCATGCGACCGCCGTCTTCGGACTCCCCTCCCCGGCGAGTATCATGATTCGCGACTCGCCGGCCATTTCGGAGTCAACCGCACTATTGCACGACTTCGACAGCGATTTCGATAGCCCGATCTCATTACCGATCTCACTCGGTATTGCGACTCTTGCGAAGTTTGCCGACGCAGCAAGCCCCGCAACCGCAATCCCTACGGCGAGTTACGCCCGATGCCTATCCCACGGGAACTTGGTCTCTCCATTGCCATGGACGTCGCCGGTCCATTTCCCCGCGACCGGCTCGGGCACGACGGCATCCTCACGGTGGTGGACCGATTGAGTAAGTATGCGCGTTTTATTCTTTGCAAGTACTACTCCACGGCTCCCGAGCTGGCACGCCTCCTACACACCGGGTGGATTTGTGGCGACGGTGTACCGGAAGACATAGTCAGCGACCGCGACACTCGTTTCATGTCAGCATTTTGGACTGCGCTCATGCAGGAGTCCGGCACGACGATGAAACCAAGTTCGGCTCGGCATCCACAGACAGACGGGCAGACGGAGCGGGCACATCAAACCGCTCAAATGATGCTTCGTACACTCATCCGTCCGGACCAGAAAGATTGGGTTGGCCGCCTCCCGACATCGAGTTCGCCTACAACACTACGGTGCACCCGGCGATCGGCGTGACTCCATTCGAGTTGCACCACGGTGGACGGAAAGGCCGTATCTTCGCCGACCTTCTCCTCCCTCGACCAGCCGACATTGACGCCGCTTGCTCCCCCGCTTCCGTTCGGAAGTACAGGGAATTGCTGACACAAGCCCGCGCGAACATGCAAAAGGCTCAAGTCCGCATGCAGCAGCAAGCCAACAGGCGTCGCGTGCCATGTTCTATCCGCGCCGGTGATCTGGTTTGGGTCTCCGCGGAAGGGTTTGCACTGGAACAGGATGTTTCACGCAAACTGCTTCCCAAGTGGTTTGGACCATGGCCCGTAACATCAGCCGCGCGCGATGAGCCCGATGACCCTTCATTTGTGATCAACATCCCGACGTATCTGATGGTCCATCCAGTCTTTCACGCCTCGAAGCTGGCAACATATACACCAACTAAGAGCGCCGACTTCCCAGGCCGACGATCGCAGAACCCTCCTTCTATGGATGGTCATCAGGAAGTTGACCGCGTCATCACCGATCGCAAGTACGGCAGCAAGCCGCGGCAGTACAAAGTCACATTCAAAGCATGCGATCGCGATGACATTCGGTGGATTTCAGGCGCAGATTTGAAAGCATCCGCACCGCTGATCTACGCGCATTATGAAAAGCGGAGGTTAGCTCAGGAAGCTTCACAATCAGCCCCTCCCACCCGGACTGTGGTCCCTCCCTCAGACAGACAGCTTCGCCCTCGCAGGTAAGCTCGGTCTTTCAAGGAGGGGGGGGTGTGGCATACTGCGTAGCCACATGGGCCTTGCAGGGCCCGTCCCGGACTTTCAGCCTAAAAGCCTAAAAGTTAGGGCTTACAGGCCCCGGTCGTTTCAGCCTGGAAGCTGAAATACGAGGGCCTGCAGGCCCTATTCCGTTTCAGCTTATTTCTGGGCCTTTCAGGCCCAGAGTTTTTCCAGCCTGAAACGAAGGGCCTTTTTCAGGCCCTCGTTGTTTCAACCACCCCTAAGACTCAGGCACGAATACAGGGTTTCGGAACAGGCCAGAAATAGCCTGTTCCTCACCAGCTTGAGCAGGAGCTGCAGCTGCAGCCCCTGCCTTCCTTCGGCATTGGCAAGAGCAGCCTCCTGGACTGCTCGCACGAGTCAGGAGGCACACCCGGTAGTACATAGGAAGTTCCCATGCACTTCACGGGTAGGTAGTTGGACAGTAGTCAGGTAGTAGTCTTCAGGATAGCGGAGCAGCACTCAGGAGGAGCGCTGCCCAGGGCAGCTTCGCGCTAGGGTAGTCTTCAGCGCTGGGCGCCATAGCTGTAGTCTTCAGCGCTGGGCGCTATAGCAGTAGTAGTAGTAGTGATACAGGAGAGAGATGACTGGCGGAGGCCAGTGGTACTTACCTGTGGTGCCATCGCTCCAGCTCCATCTTCGAGGTACCTGCATCACAGCGCCACCTTCACAGGTTAGTACTGGACTGAGAGACAGAGAGAGTTCTTCTTCTTCCTCTTCTAAGTCCACCATCTCTTCTTCCCCTCTCGCTGCCTACTTCTCAGTATCTGTGGACTACGAGAGAGAGATGTGACCTGAGACTTGACGACATTGGATACAGACTCGACATTTGGGATTCAGACATTTTGACGAGGGACTATTTGGGCCTGTGCCGAAGACTTGGTGTTGACGACATTCCCATCTTTCCCTCCTCTTCGTCTCATCCCCCTCTTCTTCGTCTGTGTATGCGTTGGGCTGGCGCAGTCTTCCTGTGTGAAGCGCCAGACCCCTTGCACACCCTGGGACGATGATGATGATGTATGTTCAGGGCTGCATTGCAACATTGATTGTTCGGATCATTGGTATCTAAGTCTTCCGTTTGCGCCATCTTGTACTTTGCGTTGAGACTTCGGTTGTTGTTCTGGTCTGCACGTTACAGTATGCAACAACATACCTGCCGGGGATATTGGGAGTGTGGGGCGGCTCAGTCCACTAGTTACGTACACTCTCAATGTAATATAAGATAATTCTCGAAGTTTTCTGAGTTTCTCTTATTCGGTTTTCCATATCTCTGGTTCAGTGTGAAATTTCATGCGAGTTTCCATTGCTGCATGCCTGCGTGAGGGTGAACTTGACAGTGGTTCATTGCATTTCTCTCTTCATTTCCTTTTTTGTCCCACTTAGCTCCTTTTTTTGGGAAGAGGAACTGCACTGTCCTTTCTTTTATTTTTCTCATTTCCTTACATCCAACATTTTTCTTTTTTCTTTCACTCTTTCACATTCCTTCTTTCACTTCTTTTATTCTTTCATCAACGACTTCCGACCATTTCTTAATTAGTGTCATCTTTTGCACAGCGGCCATGCTACTCTTCTCTGTATTCTTTCAATTTGAACTGATGTCCCGACGCCGGCCCGACGGCCATGCTAATCTTCCCAAGAACATCTCTTCATGAAACCAACCACATCGAAGTGGTCCCTGATGCTTTGATTGTGAAAAACAGCAATGACTGCAGACGCCTTTTACCTCCTCGAGTCCTCACACAAAAAAATAAAAATGAAAATGTCATGACCATTCCAAAGTGGAAGGAAAGAGAACAAAACACCATGAGTGTGAGTATGTGCCGGGGGATTTCTCACATGATGCAACTGTGCATCAGTGCGTGCAGGGTATTGAACCAACTCAGGGTGTGAGAAACAGAACAGGATGGGTCAAAGGAGATGGACATTCCCCTTACCTCCATTTCAGTTTCCATTGTTAAACGCCTCACAAGTGATTCGTGCATCTGCAAGCCCCGTGCAAATGAGTAGTCATCATATGGCCACGGTGCCTGCACCACAACCAAAAATGCGCACACACACACCCCGAACAAAAGACAACAAGGGAAAAACAAAAAAATGTCATCATCTTTCAAAGCATTCCTAAAATGGGCCAGCAATGAGCTAATGGATGCTCCGACATAGGTGGATTCAAGCATTCCTTCCAGGTGGGTGGGTGAATATTGATTCGTGCATCTGCAAGCCCTGTGCAAACGAGTAGTTGTCATATGGCCATGGTGCCTGCACCACAACCGAAAATGCGCACACACACACCCCAAACACAAAAAAACACAAGGGAAAAACAAAAAAATGTCGGCATCATCTTTCAAAGCATTCCTAAAATGGGCCAGCAATGAGCTTAATGGACGCTCCGACGTAGGTGGATTCAAGCATTCCTTCCAGGTGGGTGGGTGAATATTGCACGATCAAAGGTTAACAGGAAAACAGCCTTTGTGAAAAAAGAAGAAGAATGTAATGACCTGCCAAAACATAGACTGAGAACACTGCTGATTTCTTGGATTTGCCGCTGGAATGTATGCCTTGCTGAGATTCCCGCATTCTGCTGTGATTTCTAAGTCTGTGTATGTCCGTGCCTGCTGATCTGCGTGCCTCTCTGAGTGCTTGACGGCCTGAGTGTGTGTATGGCCCGCAAGGGTACTTGTTGGTTGAAAGGCCCCGCAGGGCTGGTACTTACCTGTGGCCGTGATTTCGAGGGTTGCAGCAGGGAAAACACTCACTGGGGTAGGCCTGCAACACTTAGAGCAACGGAAAAAACACTAAAGTAGCAGGCAGGCCGGTACCACTCAAGTACTGGTAGAAGTGTCAGGTACTGAAGGCCGAGCAGAAGAAGACAAAAGTTTACATTTTTAGAGGCCCAGTAGCGGTAGGGTAGAGGTAGGCCGGTACCAGTCCAAGTAGCCTGAGTCTAGGGCCTGTCCGGACGATATCAGAGCCTGCAATGATGTTTCCCTCCAAAAGGGAGGAGGTACCAGTTGCTGGGAAGTCACCGCCCAAGAGGCCAGTAGGCCCCTGTATTTTCAGGAGGAGCAAGCAGCTCCTCCTCATTTGCGGTGTGCAAGGATTGGAGACATACTGCTGGAGCCACGCCCTGGACTTGGGAGCGCTGCCTGGACGAGGAGAGCAGCTGGGCGCTCAGCCTGGCAATGGCGAGCAGCCCAGCCTGAGGAGGAAAAAGGGGGCGAAGGAGGAGAGTGGTGAGGTACCTACCTGGCCATGGTGGACACCATCATCATCACCTTGATTGGCGCTGCATATGGAAGGCCCCAGTTGGGGTAGTGCCACACCAAGGAAGCTCGAGCCAGAGTCAGGCATGGCGGCTTAGTGAGCAGCAGCATAGCTGCTTTGTGTTGTCCTTTGGATAGGACTGCAGCGCCACAGCTGCTTGGGTTGTCCTTTGGACAGGAGGGCAGCGCCCTTAGTCCGCCATAGCCTAGGCATGTGAGAGGAGGAAGAAGGGGGAAGCCTCGGCTATGGTGGACCTGTTGTTGTGTCAGCAGTAAGAGGGAACTTCGGATATTGATTCTGGTTCATCCACTCATTGTTATTATTATTAATATATATATTTTTTTCATTGTCATTATTATTGCAATCAGACTCGCTTTCTTTCGCACTCCAAATGCATGTAAACAGGTAGCACAGCAAACTGCGACGAGCGCCCACTCAAAACTCAGAGATATGGAAACCAAGAACACAGTTCAAATACAAGTTCACTTCAGATGGCTATGGCGCATCAGCGCCTGTACAACTCCCTGTTCGTCACTGCGCCCCACTCTGCTGTTCACACACCCTCAACTTAGGACCACCCTGGATATCCCAGACGTGTCACCTGTACACAGACGCACACACACACACTACACTCTTCTATCAGCTATGGCAGCTATGGCCGCTACTACCCCTATAGCTATGGCTAAGCTCTCCTTCTCGCCCACTTCGCCTTCGGGCATACTGCAGACCACCTCGCACAAGTCGCTGTGGCAGCGCTTCCGCATGGCTTACGCAGGAATGAATGAATGGCTGGGCACTGCCTCTCGATTTATACGTCTATAACAAGTTGGTATGCCCCTTTCCCATGCCCGTGGTGCACACAGTCCCATACGGTACTTGCTTGACTGGACTAGGACTGACTCAGCACCGGTGGACTTTGCCTCGGTCTACTCTGGGCAGTACCCGAAAGGCCACTTCCGGACCCTCCGGAAGACCGTGGACTTGGCCTTTCGGTACTGTAGCGGCTACAACCTTGACCTTTCAGGACTGTAGCAGCTACAACCTTGACCTTTCAGGACTGTAGCAGCTACAACCTTGACCCTTCGGAGGAGCTACAGCTACGGCTTCTAGAACTCACTAAAACTCCTATGCGACAGGTCTACAGATCGAACCCCTATAACCTACAGACCTACGACAACCTACCAACTGTGGGGAAAGACAGGTCGTGGGTTCAACACTTGGGGTCGACACAGATACTGTACACAGGTAAGGTAAGTACTAGGGATCGAGCCCTGCGATCTGCATCGGCTACTGCAAAGGTGGAATCCGTTTCACTCCCGCCGACCTAAATTCGAGGTCCTTAGGCTGGACCTCTGCCTTTCTTATCTCTCTCATAGGCCCTAACTACGCCGGGAGCTGTTTCCAGATGTTCAGTTCTTGTAAACCAGCGGTCGTCCTCCAGTTCCTGATATGTGAATCGGACCTTGTACTGTTTCCGTGGATGACCTCTACCTCCTGTTCTAAATACATCATCACCTACAATGCCCTCAATGCCGTATCTCCCATCCATATCCGGAGGGATCATGGATCTTCTTGAGGGAAACTTTTGGCTTGTGACACACGGCAACAACTTTGACGCATGGAACACCGGGTAGGTGTGGAGGTGTGCTGGGATCTCTACTGTGTAGGACGGCCTATCCTCTCCGCCCTTGACTTCTAGAACTGGCCATGGTCCCCTGTACGCTGGCAGTAACTTCTGCGAAATGTTTTCCTCAGGAGCAAACTCTTTAGACTTGACCCAGACTAAGTCGCCTACTTGAAACTTCGACGGGCGACGGTGCTTGTTAAGCTTGCTCTATCATTCGGTGCTGGTCCTTCCTGAGGTTTTCAACAACGGTAGTCATCTCCTTTTCGTGTTGTATTGCGAAGTGCCTAGTACCGGGTGGTAGCCTATGAATCTGATCCCGGCTAAGTCCTTCAAACGGTCTGCGTGGTCTAAAGGACTTGTGCAACTCATTGGGAGTACAGCAGGTGGCTAAGTGCACGCTATTGTTGTACGCACTGGCTACCTTGGGCAACATTTCATCCCAGTTAATCTGATCCGGTGTAATATACATGCGCATAACTTGTTGCAGCATCTTATTCATTTGCTCAGTCTGACCGTTAGTCTCTGGATGACGGCCAGATTACATCAGCAACTTTGATCCGTAAACTTTCATCAGTTTCTGCCAGTACTGACTCGTAAAACGGGTATCTCTATCACTAACAATAGACAATGGGATTCCATGCTCACTAACCCAAAAATCACAAAACTTCTGAATGACTAGCTCAGTACGAGCTTCTGCGGGTAATGGAACAAAAACAGCATACTTACTGAATCTATCAACTATGACCATGACTTGGCTTTTACCATGCCTACTCTTGACGCCAGCGTCCATAAAGTCAATGGACACTGAATCTCCTAGCTGATCAGGAATAGGCAAGGGTCTCAGAAGACCTAGAGGGGCACATGTAGTAGCCTTATTTCTTTGGCAGACTTTGCAACTGCGGACGTACTCTATGGAGTCGTTCTTCATTCCTGGCCAAGTATATGCACGCATTAGATTGGCTGAAGTCTTTTGCCAACCGAAGTGTCCCTCTGTATCATGGCATTCCCCTAGGATCACACTACGGATTTCCTCACTGTTGGGAATGCACAAACGGTCTACTAGATTAGTCTTCTCAAATAACAACCCCTCTGTAGTGTCGTAATCTGGTTCAGTCTCAGGGCCCTCCTTAACTCTCTTGAGGAGGTCGCTATAAATAGGGTCCTGCCAATACGCCTGTCTTTCTTTCTCTTGCAGGTCTGTCCCTATATCCAGATAGTGGACTATAGCTCCAAAGTAGTCTACTCTCCTACTTAGAGCATCCGCAACTACATTGTACTTACCCTTAACCGGTTTGAGCTCGAAGTCATACTGGTCTATCTCAATGGTCCACCTAGTCAGCTTAGGGGTCATTTTGGCCTGTGTCTTCAGCCACCTAAGAGTCTCGTGGTCTGAATACACTTTGAAGTGCCTCCCAAGCAGGTAATGCTTCCAATGTTCTAAGGCCTGCCTAAGAGCGTAGAGTTCTCTCTCGTAGGTCGAGGTAGTTACTTTTTCTGAGGGATCCTCGCTGACATGAACTCTACGGGTCTGTAGCCATTCTCGTCGTCCTGCTATAACACGACGCCTATTCCATACTGACTCGCGCCCGTGGTGACAACAAATGGCAAAGACGGATCTGCTACTTCGAGGACGGGATACTCTATTAACGCGCGCTTTAACTTCTTGAGCGCAGCCGTACAGTCTTTATCCCACTGCCAGATTGCCTCTTTCTTGAGTAACCTGCGAAGGGGAGCGGCGATAGTCGAGAAGTTCCTCGCAAACTTCCTATAGTAGTTAGCTAGGCCTAGGAACGACCGCAACTCAGTCAACGTGCGGGGCGTCGGCCAATCTCTGATCGCCGCTATCTTGCTGTCCTCAGCCATCTCCGTCTAAGACGTGGCCCAAGTACAAGACTTGTGTCTTGGCCCAGTCACACTTTTCCGCATTGATCTTGAAGTTAGCCTCTCTCAGCTTCTCCAAGACCTGCCTCAAATGACCTTGATGCTCTTGGAGGGTCCTACTGAATACTAATATATGATCTAGATACACTACAACAAATTAGTCTAACCATGGTCTAAGTAAATCGTTCATACAACCTTGGAACGTGGCAGGCGCATTGGTTAGTCCAAAGGGCATCACTCTGAACTCATAGTGCCCATATCTAGTCTGGAATGCAGTCTTGTACTGGTCATCAGGATGGACCTATATTTGATGATACCCGAACTTCAGATCGATCTTCGAAAAATATCTGCAGCCCTGCACTCGATCTAGGAGATCGTCTATCCTGGGCATTGGCTCAGCGTCTTTACTTTGATCACGTTTAGACCCCTATAATCTATGCACATCAGCAACTCTCCTTCCTTTTTGGGGATAAACAAGACTGGTGCTCCAAAAGGAGATGAACTGGGCGTAATCCAACCCTTTTTGAGGAGCTCGTCCAACTGCTTATGCAGCTCCTCTAATTCCTTAGGGGACATCCTGTAAACTGCTCCCTTATGAGTTCTACCGTCAGGCTCTATCTCTATACGATGCTGGATCGGCCGCGACACTACTCCTGACGGCGGCTGTGCTTGGCAATAGCTAGATCTATGGGCTTCTCTTCCTTAGGCTCAGTAACAGGCCTTACATAGCTACGAAGACCTGCTCCTCTAACTGCTCCTTTTTAACAAATCACGAGAACGCGGGAGCACTGAGGCAACAATGTGCCAAGGAGTTGTCTACTCCTGACACATGGAACAAGTGGGTCGTCTTGACCTCGCACGATGGGCTAGGGAGCCTACACTCATGCTCTCTTAGGTGGAGTGTGGCCCCTGCTGCCCCTCCCCAGTCCATGCCTAGGACTATGTCAAAAGGAAGGTCATCTTGTACGAGGAGAGTCGGGGAATGGAGAACTCTCTCCACCTTCCCATCTTTCTCTAGGCGGAAATACGCTTGGACTCCCTCTCCGTAGTCCTCAATACACATAGTGCAATTGTCTGCGAGGACAGTAACTATGGGGTCTTCCAATTTTTGGACTTTCTCAACCCTAGCCTTAGCTTCTTCAACGCTCTACGGCTAATATAATTGCGAGTAGCCCTGGATCTATAAGGGCTCCTACTCTACTTCTGAAAACCTCTAGCTAACTAGGCACTGACCTGCAACCTCTGTCGAAGGCTCATGTGGTGTGGGAGTTTCCTGTTCGTGTGCACTCGCTTCCCCTGATGGCCTTGTAGTAAGGGCAGTTGCAACCCCTACCGGCGGCTGCCTTTTGACCCTTGGGCAGCCGATCGGGCCTCTCTGTACTTAGGACAATATTTAATGATATGGGTCGGGTCAACGCAATATATGCACTGACCCTGGTCCATACGCTGCTGCCATACTCGTTCATCCAGGCCCAGATCTTCCAAAGGCCGGCCTTGTGGCCAACCTGGGTGCCAACCTGCTCTCCTCTAAGGTGATCCTCCACCTCGTCGCTGCGGGGACCGACTAGGACCTTGACAATTTGACGGGGGACCTTGACCCTTACCTCCCTCTTGGCGGTTCCTTTGGCCGCCAACCCCCTGCGCGCCCGATCCTAGACCACCAGTGGCCTGGCCCCTTTGGCTCTGGCCTCCTCCTCTACCTTGCGGCCTCCCTCCAGCCGTGACCGCAGCATAGGTCCTCCTCTGGCCTATACTGCTGTCCTCCTCCTCTAGCCCCCACTCTATCTGCCTGTAGGGGACTTCATCATTACCACCTTCGTCCAAAGTAAGGATCAGATGATCCTTGGCCCTAACCTGGCCTGACATGGTACGACCCTTCCACTTTTTACATTTGTCTAAGTCCTTGTGCCAGAAAGTGGACACTAACATGGACTTTGCCTCATACAACACCACCTTTCTACTCAAGGCATCGTACGTCATGGTTGGCTGTTGACTCTTTTCAAAGAAATGCCCTCGTAAGGGCTCCGGCATGACACGATGAAGCAATTGGACCAACTGGGCCTCAGTGAACCCGTGGTTTGGGACGGCTACCAAGTCGTCCATAACGGCTTTGAGTGCTCGCGCACTCCTCCACTGTTGTGAGTGGATGGTTTGGAGTTTGTTTGAGGCCTTAACACCACGCCTCAGAACAGCGAATTGCTCTCGGAGGAGCTTGAAGAAATAGGGAAGGGAGGTGACTTTAGAATAGGCAACCACGTTGTTCTCACAACTGGCTGCACGCGCTAGGGACCTCGCGAAGCTAGCCGCGTCATCCTTTAAAGCGTGGAAGGCTACCCGAACCTGCTCCGCAGGTGCAAAGTGTTGTAAATAAACATATCTATTGACGCTAGCCTCCAAGTTATCAAAATTTTCTTCAGTTTTCCCGCCATACGCATCTGGGAACTTTAGCTTGACTAGCTCTTTGCAGGGACACGCTTCAGCCTCTACTGTGACCACTACTTTGGCGCCTTCAATGTCGCCTGCACAGAACTTCTTTGCGCCTTCCTTTAACCTCTTAACTTCGGCCCCGACATGGGTCACCATGTCGCGCGCAAACTCTCTAAACCCGGTCCGGATGGCATGGAGGGTCACCTATTGGCCCTTATTAGCCTGACACTGCTCAATCCAGGCCTGCCCCAAAATCTCGAGATAACTCAAGATCTTATCTAATTTGGCTGGAATATATTGTTGTGCTCCCACTTCTTGCTTACACGTTTGTATCTTTTCGACTTCTCTGGCCATCCGGTTGGCCTCCTCCCTCCTCTTCTTCTCCCTTGCCAACCGCAACTTCCACTCCAATCTTTTTTCATCCTCCAGCGTCTGGCGGTCCACGGGTTCTCCATGGCTTCCAACTCCCTGGCTACGGCTTCTTTTTCCTCCTGAGGCACATACAACATTGCATCTTCATCTTCCCCCAACGATAAATTAGCAACCCATTCACTGATCTTCTTCTCCACCCACGCATCTTCTTCCTTCGTGCCACTGCTTTCTCCACTTTCTCCCCTAAACCTCCTTTCGAGGGGTTCTTCTTCTAATTCTTCCTCCTCTGCTGCTGCTACTTCTTCGGCAGCCCTCTTTTTCTCTTCCTCCTCCTGCTGTAATCTCATCATCTCCTCCTCCACTTTCTTCTTCTTCGTCGCCTGCTCCTCAGCTATCGCCTTCGACTTCGCGTGCTTGAGGAGCTCCTTCTCCTTCTTTTTTCTTTTTTCTCTCTCTTAAGATGGCGGCGAATTGCTCCTCTTGAGCCTGAGTGTAAGGGGCAGTACTCTTCCCACTGCGGGTGTCAACCATGGTGTCGGGTGCACAACCTGGACAACGGTTCCACTCCTCACCACTTAGATTCTACACCTTGACTGACATGACCTACTGACTCAATCTATGGACCACAGAATCCGGACAGGATCCTATCAACTAGGGTCACTAGCCCCACTCTGCTGTTCACACACCCTCAACTTAGGACCACCCTGGATATCCCAAACGTCACCTGTACACACACACACACACACACAATACACTCTTCTATCAGCTATGGCGGCTATGGCCGCTACTACCCCTATTGCTATGGCTAAGCTCTCCTTCTCGCCCACTTCGTCTTCGGGCATACTGCAGACCACCTCGCACAAGTCGTAGTGGCAACCCTTCCGCATGCTTACGCAGGAATGAATGAATGGCTGGGTGCTGCCTCTTGATTTATACTTCTATAACTCATTGGTCTGCCCCTTTCCCATGCCCGTGGTGCACACAGTCCCATACGGTACTTGCTTGACTGGACTAGGACTCACTGGGTACCGCTAACTCAGCACCGGTGGACTTCGGCACTTGGCCACTTGGCTCGGTCTACTCTGGGCAGTACCCGACAGGCCACTTCCGGACGTTCCGGAAGACCCTGGACTTGGCCTTTCGGTACTGTAGCGGCTACGACCTTGACCCTTCGGAGGAGCTACAGCTACGACTTCTAGAACTCACTAAGACTCCTATCCGACAGGTCTACAGATCGAACCCCTATAACCTACAGACCTACGACAACCTACCAACTGTGGGGAAAGATACAGGTCGTGGGTTCAACACTTGGGGTCGACACAGATATTGTACACATGTAAGGTAAGGACTAGGGATCGAGCCCTGGGATCTGCATCGGCTACTGCAAAGGTGGAATCCGTTTCATTATTATTGGAAGAAGAATAAGATTGGCGAAGTGAAGGAAGATGGAGAGAGGAGGGGGATTTGTCATTGGTCTTACAAGAGTACATATTCTTCTTCTTCTTCTTCTTATTCTTCTTCTTTCTCTCTTCTTTGGTCTCTATCTCTTTGCCAGTGCTTTCATTTCTTTCGCAACTGGGTGGCATCGGGGTGGCATCGTCTTTCATTGTGAATTTGCACTTTGGGAATGACCAGGACTGTAACAATTGGTATCGGAGCAGACTGACTTGCTGGCGAGAGGTGTTAGTCACCCTAACCCTAATTCCAAATTAGCTTAGGGCTAACTGAATATCGGATTAGGGTTGGAGGTTAGGGTTAAGAGGGGAGGGGAGGTATGTGGATGCTGCACCCACTTGGTTAGGTCATGTGGGGTCGGCATCAGACTTGACCAGGTTGCGTGAGTGATTGAATGGGGTGGCGAGACACAAAGGAGGGTGATTGGAGTAAGTGAGAGGGAGTAGAGAGTGAGAGGTACTCGCACCTGGAATCTAGACTTCAAGAAGACAACAAGTGACTTTTGGGCTTCCCCTCAAGAGGGAGACTTGACAGGAGGCTGCCATATCTGCATCGAAGAGCTGCAAGTTGCTACTTTGGTCTTCAACATCGACGGAGGATCCGGCGTTGCGACATGGGTGTAGGGAGGCCCTCTTAGTCATGCTAGGACACTTCGTGTAGTGGTAGCTAGGGGTCAGGACGACCTATGAGAGAGGGGGGCGAGTCGTTATCCATCTTTGGAGGCTGGGCCTCGCAGGTAAGTATCGTGTGACTTGGGTATGCCCATGGGTGGTTGCTTGGTGCTTCATGGCCTGATGGCGTGTGCTGGGGTGTCTTCCTCATTCTGTGGTCTTGGTTGTGCGTGTGAGCATGTGGATTGCTTTCTCACCTAATGGATGGATGGATGATGTCCCTAGTTCTCAATGACATATCTTTCTACCGTGCATTGTCTTTTCACTTCTGAATGGCTGGAGGGGTAGGTTCTTGCTGAAAGTTGTCTTTTCCTTTTCAGTATGGTACAGGCAGTTTGGGACCCACTTAGTACATTTCTCATTGGTCCGGGTCCACTACCTAATTGGGACCCTTAAGGACTCAGTGGGACCAGGCCCAATGGGACAAGATCTTTAGGACCCAAATTTGTTGTCGTCCGTGCATCTCTTTGCTGTGCTGAATTTGGGGGACACACAGCAAGTAGGGATGTTGCCGTCAGTGCATCTCTTTGCTGTTCTGAATTTGGGGGACACACGACAAGTAGGGACATTCCTTTCAAGGGGATCTTGACTAGTCTTACTGCATCTTCTCACACATTGCCCCGCGTCTGGCTCGGCAACCGTCTGCACCCCTCGAATTCTCCATTGCTGCAGTCAGTTTTCTTTCGGCTGACTTATTCATGATACTTGTTCCATGTCAGGTTAGGCAAGAGGGGATCTCCAACTAATCTGACCGGACCCGTTCGTTAAGTCAGTCCTCTCTGTAATTTGTTTTAATTTATTTATTATTTATTTCTGCTGCGTGGATGACATTCTTTAAGGCCAAATGAATTGTCGCTCTGGCTAGGAGTTCTACCTTCTGCTCTTTGTGATCTATTTGTTTTTCTTTTATCTGAACTATCTATGTCCAATAAAGAGAGCGCAGCGAGAGAGAGAGAGGTTTTTTTTGAGAGTGTGAGGACGGGTAAGAGGACCGTTCGTCCAAACGTGAGCAAAGAGCAGGCCCGTCTTGAGAGATCTACTGAAACCCCTCCAGCATGGCAGACATCTCATCTGCCCAATCGCAAGCCATGCTGGACGCAGCGAACGAGAGCGAGAAACCATTCTTTCAAGCAGCAGCCAAAGCCACAAGTATTGCTGCCCAAGTGGCTCTCCTCGAGGTTCCGGAATAGTGATGCCCGGTTCAAAGAGAAGCTAGCTGCTGCTGTAGCAGCCTTGGTTCAATTGTGGACCTTGGAAGATCTCGACTCCCGTGTGACAGTACTAGAGCAGCGGAACCAAGAGCTACAAGCTAAGATCACAGGCCTCAAACAGGCCCAACTGACTACCTCTCGTCCTCCTAATACTCATCCTGCTGACTGCCAGTCCCTCACCTAACACAGTCCTCGTTCAGAGAGCGCAGGAACCGGTGCCAACTCTTCAAGTGGCAGCGCCGATAGTTCTGCACTGGTCCCAATCCCAAATGCAAGAACATCAGCCCAAAACGCCGCAGTTCTTACGGGCATACAATACAGCGGTCCCATAGTGGACAAGAGGGCGACCATCCTTGATAGACCCGATGAGTCGGTTTGCATCGATTTCAGGGATATGGGAAAGGTGAGTGAGGGAGGAAATTCACAAGTCATGGTCATCGTGCATCGTTTTTCCAAATTCCTGAATGCAAATCCTTTACCTCCTCATGCCCCAACCGAGCTTGTGCTCGAAGAATTCCATTAGCAGTGCATTCTGCAGTATGGTCACCCGAAAACTCTTGTGAGCGATCGGAACACCAGGTTCATTAGTAAAGATTGGAAGGATTTCACCACTCAAATTTACGACTCGACACCCCGAAGCCAATGGTTTGGCCGACGAAATCAAACCAGACCGTTATTCAACTTCTTCGCTCGTTAGTTCTTCCCGATCAGAACGTGGGACAAGGAGTTACACAAAGTGAAGGGGTTGTAGAACAACTCCATTCACTTTGCGATTGGTGTGATGCCGAATCAGCTGCAATACAGTTGGCAGCTGCTCAATCCTCTCTCCTATTTGTTTCCCGATCGGTCACCTGGACTTACGCCCGGCACGCCTGGCTACAATGCCAAGTATGCACGCTTGCTCAAAGTTGCCATCGCAGCAATGAACAAGTGCCAGCATGCCATGATCAAACATGTGTTACAATCCTGGCCAATTTCCAAGTATACATTCATCAAAAAGTACAATGCCATCCAATTACAAAAAAGAAATGAATGAAATTGAGAGGAGAGAGAGGGAAGAAAAAGAAGAAGTAAGAAAGAAGAAGAAGATTATGAACTCCAGCATAGACCAATGACAAGGGTCTTCTTCTTCGCCAACCAATCTCCTCCTCGTTATCTCCTCCCCTCTTATTCAAACAAGAAATAACAATAATAATGTTGAATGGCTAAACCAAAATCAATGTCTGAATCCCACTTCTACTGCAGGCACAACATGAGGTCCACCATAGCCATGGCCACCCTTCCTCTTCCTCTACATGTAGGCCGAGGCTATGGCGGAGCACTAAGGGCTCTACCCTCCTGTCCAAAGGACAACCCAAAGCAGCTATGTCGCTGCCTCCCTGTCCAAAGGACAACGTAAAGCAGCTATGTCGCTGCTTGCTAGGTCGTCATGCCCGTCTTTCCCTGAGCTTCCTTGGTGCGGC